ACCGCGATCGTCAACTACAAGAACTACTACCTCTCAACCTCATTATCCAACTACAACGAAAACTATCACAGCAACCACAACTACTCCCAAAACTACAACAGCAACATATCGCAAATATTATTCAACTACAGCAAAACCTGCAAATACTGACTACCCAAGATATTCCCCTACAAGTTCCTCTACAACAGCACACCATCAATGTAGCTATGAGTACAGTACTGAGATTGATAGTGCTGAATTCGATGACAGTTCAAAAGGATATCATGAATTACATGATGAAAACTGTGGCTGTAACAGTGAAGAAGACTTTAAGGATTATTCCCCAGAGAATGAAAACGATGAAGAATATATTAGTTGGGAAGACGATGATGAAGAGGAATATGAAGAGGAGGAGGAAGATGATGAGGAAGATGAGGAGGAAGATAAGGATGGTACATCCCAATCTAACGGAGCTGAAGGGTCCTACACAATAGATGATAATACTTACACTTACAAACACAATAAAACTAATTCCACTTATACTTTTATCTACGGGGAAGATTCAACTAATTCTAGTGAGAATAAAGCCAACGAAAGGGAATTAGAAAAGATCAGCGATAGTGAAGCTATTTATTCCAATGTTGAAACTAACAAGTATGCTTATGAAGAGAAGAAACATTCGGGAAGTAATAATAACAAGACTGGGAACAAGGAATCCAAAAAGCCAACTTACTCCGCAGGCCCTAAAGAGAAGCAAGAAACTTCTACAAACTACAATTTAAAATTGGAGCATATAAAAAAGGTTAAAGGATCTTTACCTACCGGTAATCAGAAAACTTCCATAAATAATAATGCAAAATCGGGAAATGTGAAAACATCTGCAAAAAGTACTTTTAAGAACAAAGAAAATCGAGAAGATTTAAATGTGTTGGGAAACAATGAGGGAAAGAATATAATAAAATTGATACAAGAAAGGCTTGAGGAGGAGTTTGGAAGTCCAAAACCTCACGATATGAACAAACAAGCGCAGAGAAAAGAAGGAGGTCTTAATACTAAGCAGCAAGATCAACTTAAGGCAAAACTAGGGAAAACAAAAGTTAATACTAAAGAAAAGGTTACGATTAAGCCATACTCAGGACAACCGATCAGACAACGAGTTCAAAATCTAGTCAATTCTGGACAAATAAACCCTCATTCAGATACAGCTTTAACTGAAAATGCTGCGGGAAGCCTTCAAGAACTTTATGGAAATCTAAAACAATCTGAATTTAAGTCAAATACTGAACAACGAGATCAAATCTTTGCAAAGCCAGGGCTATTAAACCTTAATTTATATAGCGCTGAACACAATGAGAATGCCGCACAAAGTCTTAAAGAAATATATGGAAATCATCAAGGTAATACAAATCTGGAGCAATCAAACATAGATTTGAACACAGCTTTATTTAGACCACAATATTACGAAGGTCCCAAAGATATAGTTCAAGACAACTATGAAGATCTGCTAGGGAATTTCCAAAACAAAGATGAAAGTCTGGAAGCGGATATAAGTTATGAAGAAGATACAGCAAAAGCTAATTATGAACCACTTAATGTAAAAGAAAAGGAACCAAAGTTCGGGGTATATAGCGATGAAGCATATGGTTTATTAGATTCGGCTGAGGTCAGTAAAACTCATGAAAGGTCTGGACAAAAACAACCCCAAACAACTCTATATAATGGGGAAAATATAGCAAAAGAAATGAATTCTAACAATAACATTAACTCGCTCCCGTCTGCCTATATCTACCAAGACGATAGAGACTCCAATCCAAATGAACAAATCCCTGAATATTCCACACAATCTCAAGTGAATAATACGGAAAATACTGAAAAGATTTTAGAGGTTTTTGAAGCTCTATTATCGGAAAGTGATGCTGAGGAAGAGGATGATGAAACTTTAGTTAAACAAGTATTAACTACTATTGGAAGTGAAACTACTGCAGCTTATCCTTTGTATGAGGATATGGAAAATCAATCGAATTATACCAAACGCGAGGAATATCCTGCCAAGTATAACAGTACCAAAAAGGGTGAAATTTATAATGGTGCTGTTTACAAGGCTCCAGTCTATGATGCTCCTACATACAATTTTATTTACACAGCTCCTAACCATCCCGTACTACCTTTAATGCCTGTCAATCATCATCCTTTCTCAAATTATCCTGCCTTTATGCCACAGTACGCAGATCCTACCGCTAATACTTATAATCCTTTTGTACCCTTAGTAAATCAATCTAACTTGGGAGTTGCAATGGAATCGGCACCTAGTGCTAATAATCCTTTCAATCCTTTACAATTTTTAACTTCCTTGGCAGCTATGAATAGTCCTTTTGGTTCACAAATGCCCAACATAATGCCTTTACCTCAACCCTCAGAATATAACAGCAATAATCAACCACAAAGTCATAATAATCCTTTAGATATACAGGAACCCCCTTCCCAGCTTCCCTTAAGTCCCTCTAGTCCTGCAGTTTTTAATCAAATATTGCCTCAAACTCATCCATCACCTCTCATGTTTTTACCCCCTCCACCTGAACCATTTTTAAACTCTTTTTCTCCTTTAACTAACATTGCTGCCCAAATACCAAATTCCTTACCTTTCAAGGGAAAGAGAGAAAATGACAACAATCAACCATTAATTGAAGAGAAGGAAGACACTTTAACAGATGCTGATGGCGATAAATCGGAACTACCTCAATACCCTTTTCCTCAGCCATCTGTCCCTCTATCTCCTGCACCTATTTATAACAACCCAGTTAATCCCCAAATGCAACAACCTTTACCATTACTTCCCCCTATGTCCGCTAATGCTTTGCCAAACTTTAATTTTCAGTCTATGCCTTATCTACCACCTGCTGGACCCATGCCTTTAAATGTCTTCAATGCCACTTTGTTCAGTCAAATCGCAGAAACTTTGAAGACTATAACAAGTCGTTATTAAGTTTATATTTAAATAATTAATTGTAAATATTTAATTACCAGTTTTGTTAAATTTTTTGTAAGAATAATAAATATAATTAAGTTTTTAATAAAATTTATGAAAATAAGTTGTTGTTTTTAATTAATTCAATTATAAATTTGATTTTGTGAAAAACGCATTTTTGTTCATTTCACATCATCACTTTTTTTAGTGAAATATCGAGTTTTTTTGTGAAAAATCTAACTTTTATTAAAAAATCGAATTTTTGTTGAAAAAATTAATTTTTAATGCACAATTTAATACCCAAAAAAGTCGTATTTTCAGTAAAAATCGAACTTTTAATTAAAAATTAGATTTTGGATTTTGTAACGATGATTTTGATGGACCGATTTTATCATTCCATTTGTAACTTATCGAAAAAGAGTATCTATCTGTACTTATTAGATTCTAAAATTATCTAGCCATGTTCGCGCGTCGTCTTTCTGTTGAAAAGACGATAGGTTCTCATTGAGAGTCATGTACAATATGTATTCGACCCACATCTAGACCTAGTTCTCATTTAAGGTCCGCTCTAGAAATTTACTCTTATTCTCCTATTTGGATTCAAAATACAAGTGTGGCGATAAAATTCGACTTAGACAAGTGGCTAATATAGGAACCGAAATCTCACCGGAATAAGATTTTGTGAAGATCGTTCCATAATTGATCCTACCGCCATATAAGGTACCCTCGGAAAATTACTTCAACGCGACATTTTTCTATAGGAACTAAAATCTATTTGATGGTACGTATTCTGAATGGACACATAGACGAATGTAGAGCATGTGGAGAGGACAGTGAAACTCTGGAGCACTTTCTTTGCCACTGCCAGGCATTCGTCGAAATTAGATCCAAGTATCTTGGAAGTGATGTTATTCCAGAAATAACATTCCTGACTAACACTGATTGGAAGATTCTTAGGAATTACGTTCAGGAAACTGAGTTTCTGGACACTGAAAAATAATTCTTTCAGTTTTTTTTTTGATAAGGAGCGCACAATAGGCCCGATAGTGGCCTAGGTGTATTTCTTCGGATTTGATGTAGTATACATCCTCCTATCGACCTACCTACCTAAAATCTATTTGTCAAATTTCCTAAGGATTGGCCCATACTGGCACCAAGCCCCATCCCTCAAAAATTCTAAGTTACATAACGGACATTTGTAACAAACATATAGGAAGAAAAATAATTTCACCAAATTTTATATAGATCGGTCCTTAATAAAATCTACCCCTAACTAACCCCACTTACAGATAATATCTTTTTTGTCAATAAACTTTCCAAAAAGACAGAATTAAGATAAAAATGATTTGTTTTCAGAAATTAACCGCTTTTTCAAATTCTGAAGAGTTCGGACCATAATCGACCGATTTTTATTGAATATTTCCAAAAATTTATAATAAAAATTAAATTTATCTCATAATTTTAAAACCATTTTCTATATAAAGAAAACTTGTCAAAAATTTTCTTTATGAAGTAAATTTATCGAAAATTGTCTATAAAAAGAAAATTTATCGAAAATTGACTATAAATAGAAAATTTATTAAAAATTTTCTATACAAATAAAATTTATCGCCAAATGTTCAATAAAAAGAAAATATCCTTAAAAAACAGAGAAAATTTATAGGAAAAGTTTCTGTAAAAACAAAATTAATCGAAAATTCTGTAAAAAAAATTATTGAAAAATTTCTATATAATTTATCGAATATTCTTTGAAACATTCTTAATAAATGAGTCATACATGTCTTAGAACAATGAAGAGCTGATCATTGATGGCTTTTGTCATAGTTCATTCATAAAATTTACAAGAAATAATGACCCATATTTATGCGCATTAATAAACTAATTCTCAAAATGGAAAAAACACGTACCAAAAGCAAAACTTAAAGAATTGAAAAAGAACCACTTAAAAGAACAAAAAGATAAAACAATTTCAAAAAGTACACGTTAAATGCAACAAAAACGTATTTGAACCAAAACATGTAAGTAGTTCTCAAATTACATGTAATTAATTGATAAAATGTTGAATGAACAACAATTAAGTTCCGACATTAAATGGAATAGTATAAAAGGGAAACAGTACAGTTTCAAACCAAATACTATTTCCATTAACTTACATTAAAAAAGTCTATTGTAATGGTTTTAAGCGCAAGCATTACAATGAAAGTGTTCTTAATCCTTATAGGATATTTTATGGCAACTGTAGCCCAAATGTTTAATAATTTTAATGACTTAAATAGTATAGTTATATGTGCTACATTAAATAATGCCAACAGGACATTTGATAACATTTGGCAGGTGTATAATGAGTATAAATTGACGGGACAAGTGTGGACTCCTGTAGCCTTAGGGGCTTGTCCTGTTAATAGCCCTGATTGTACAGTGTTAAATCCTGTGTGTGCGGTGTCTCGTAATAACTTTTTCAAAACATTTCCCAATCTATGTGTTTTAGAAGCTGAACAAAGAGCTACGGGAACTGGTAAGTTTTATTAAGCGTTAGTCATTTTATATCTTTATTAAAGGAATACTTTGTAATTTTCCTTTAGAGTGGAGAATTGTATTTAATGGCATTTGTTCAGCAAATCCTGGTGATGGTTTTGCAACATCCACCGCTGCTCCTCCAGTTACACCAGCTCCTGCACCTTGGTATGCCAGATTTTTAGGTAATACACAACAAGGACAACCTAGCTTATCTCTACCGTTTTCTGGTAGCCTACCTTTTGCTACAGTTCCTGTACAAAATAACCAGCAGCAAGGTTATACTGGTGCTATTGCTGCTGATAACAACCAAAATATTGCTCAACCTGCATACCCCTCATCTTCGGGTCCTATTCCATCACCATTTTCACATAATGATCCTGCTTGTGATCCAGCTGCCGGTTCCGTCCCCTCATCTTCATATTCCACATCTTCAAATATGCCTGGTTCTTTAATATCTCCACTATGTTTACCTCCACCAGCAAATGTTAACCCTGATTCAATACCATTCAATACTATACCTTTATCTAATCCCGCCCTTTCACAACTATTTTCAACATTACAAAATACTGCTAATTCCGCTTCCCATTCATCGTACTCAGTACCTTCAAGAGATCCTTTGCCAGCATTACCTTCACCTTCTTACCCAGCACCTAACCCTGATTGTCCTCCTACGCCTAGTTCTCCAACTTCATCTCATTATAATTCCGCCCCAGCACCACTACCATCTCCTGCGTACTCTTCGCCAACAATTTCTGATAACTGTAATCCAGTACCTTCAGCTATTCCTGGTCCCTATGATCCAGCTCCAGTTCCTTCACCTGCTCCCGGAAATTATAATCCTACAAATCAGCCAGCACCAGCTTATGGGGGACCTTCTTCAAACCCAACATCTTCATATAATCCTAATCCATTTGATTCCGTACCAATCCCAGCCCCTTCTCCATCTTACTCAACAGCTTCAGCAGGCTCCTCACCAGCTTATTCTGGAACTTCTTCTAATCCAGCACCTTCAGCAGTCCCTGGCTCATATGATCCGACTTCAGTTCCTTCACCATCTTACTCAACATCTTCTTCAGTGCCCTCCTCAGTAAATTATAATCCAGCCCCAGCTTCAGTACCACCTTACACAGCACCTTCTGTAAATCCTATACCTGGTACTTATGAACCTAGTCCCTCGGCTTCTGGTAACTATAATGCTGCTCCAGCTCCTCAACCACCATATTCCATTCCTTCTGTAAATCCGGAACACTCTCCTATACCCAGTTCATATGATTCAGTTCCAGCTCCTTCGCCATCTTACTCGATACCAACTCCTGGAAGTTATGATCCACAACCAGCACCACAACCCTCGTATACTAATCCTGCGGTAAATCCAGAACCATCTCCTGGATCTTATGATTCAGCACCACAGCCTTCGCCAGCATATCCTACATCCTCCTCTAATCAAGTACCCCCAGCTGCTTTGCCATCTGTTTCTGGAGATTGTAACTCAGTCCCAGCTCCACAGCCTTCATTAACGTATCCCGCAGCTTCAACTTATGCTGCTCCCTCTCCGATTTCTGGGGATTATACACCATCATCTATTGATAATAAACCTTCATATGCAGCCATTTTATCTGATCCTGGACATAGTAATAATCAAGAATCCGTCCCTTTCAACACCGTGCCATTGACAAATCCAGCACTTATTCAAATATTTTCCCCATCTGCAGCTGCGCCAACCTCTTCTCCTTCGCCATCATACTCGGTACCGTCATCCAATTCTCCACAATCATATGCTCCAGCAAATTCTTTACAATCAGAGCAAGCTTCTTATGCCGTACCGTCGCCTGCTCCAGCTCCTTCACCAGCCTATCCACAAACAGGTTATAATAACAATTCTCCGATTTTGACAGATCCTATTCCTTCACAATTTCCTTTAGTACCAGCACTTGGCAATAATGTGGACTCCATCCCATTTAACACTATACCTTTAACAAATCGAGCGCTTTTACAAATATATCCCCCATCAACACCTGGGGCAGCATCAACACCTATAGCGGCCCCTTCCCCAGCATATACATCCAATCCTTCCCAATCATACTCTGCTGGCGATTCTTCACAACCACAGCAATCATCTTATGTTCCCGTTTCTCTATCTCAATCTGCGCCACCAGCTTACACTTCACCAGCAGTTAGTGGCCCTGAAGTTTCCTCATCTTATTCCAACCCCTCCGAACCTAATGCACCATCAATACCATATCCACAACAACCTGATGCTGGACAAGTTCCTTGCGATAATACCGATTCATTACCTTTTCCACTGATTTTGCCAGCACCTCTTGTGCCCTCACTTGCTCCTCCATCTATAACTACATCAGATTATTCTTCTGCAGTAGTTAGTGTTCCTGGAATTTCGTCATCCTATTCCAATCCCTCTGAATCTAATTCGCCATCAACATATCAACAACAACAATCTGGACAAGTTCCTTATGGAAATACAGATTCATCAATTAATTCTCTGACCTTAACGGCGCCTCTTACTCCTTCAGTTGGAGGTGTACAGTTTTCAGCATCTGAGGGTTCTTCTGCATATTCAAGTTCACCTACTTCTAATTATGCGCCGTCAGAACAAAAACCCTATGATAACGCTGAACAAAATTACCAGCAATCGCCTCAAACCTACTCATCATCCTCTGCCAAGTCATATGGTTCCAATCCAGCTGAAGCCCCATCTGTATCACAGTCCTATCAGCAAGCATCAAATACACCATCTGATACTTACTCATCCTCTTTGCCCTCAGCTCCTTCTGCCCAATATAATGCAGAACCATATAACAATCCTATTGCAGTACCAGCTGCCGATAATGCTCCTTGTAGCAATGCTGAAAGTTATATTTCTCCCGTACTTAATTATGAAAACGTACCTTCATATACCCCCACCTCCAATGTTAATCCTGCTGCCAGTGATAGTTACTCAGATAAACCAAATGATTCCTATAATAATGTAGATTCATCAAATCTTAATGATTACTCCAAATCACAGGACAACCCGAATCCTTTAGCTACATATGATAAATCAAAATCATATGATGCTCCTGCGGCGGACAACTCAAATTCAAATGTTAATAATGAGGGTCAAACTATTTACAATGGCGTCGTCTATCAGGGTCCCTATTATTATGAACCAAAATATAAACATATTAATTTTGGTAATTTCAACTTTTTGCCCTCACAGGGATCAGCTGCAGCTACAGCAGCACCAGCACCAGTGTCTACGGCCGTACCGGCCTTAGTACCAGCTTATCCTTATGCAGCAGTTCCCGGAGCCCAATATTCCAGCTACAGTACGAATCCTTTTGAACAACTTTTAAAACAACTGCAGTATATTGCAACGAAAAATGTTATCAATGGATATTAATTTTATTTTCGAACGATTGTAAATACATTTTAACGAAAATAGTTAATTTAATAAATAAAATATTTTGTAAATAAAAATAAAGTATATAGTTTTAAATAAAATTAAATAGAAAATGAACAAATCTCTAAAAGCTCTTAGAATCAAATATTGATCCAATATTTAACCTTAATTTTAAAAGTTGAATAAATTTGAGAAGTAAATTATAAAAATTTCTTGAAAATTTAAATTTTATAAAAATCTGGCCCATATACTAGCAACATATACTGGATTACAGTTCAGACTATAGACTAGACTGTTGTTTAGGTTATTAACTAGACTTTAATTCACGCTAGACCATAGTTCAGACTAAGGACTACAATCCAGACTGAAGACTAGAATATAATACCGACTAAAGAATAGGCTATAGTCCAGGCTATATACAGATAGTTCAGACTATAGTGCAGACCATAGTTTATATAGCTTTTACCATAGTACAGAATATAGCTTATACTATGGTCTAGTCTATTATCTATACTGTGGACTATACAATAGTCCAGCCTTTATATTATTATATACCCGATTGTATATAGACTAGACTATAGTTCAGGCTATTGACTAGACTATAGTTCAGTCTATAGACTAAACTATAGTCCAGACTATAGACTAGACTATAGTCCAGACTATAGACTAGACTATAGTCCAGACTATAGACTAGACCATGGTCCAGACTATAGCTTTTACCATAGTACAGAATATAGCTTATACTATAGTCTAGTCCATTATCTATACTGTGGACTATACAATAGTCCAGCCTTTATATTAGACTACAGTCCAGACAATAGTCCATACTATAGTTTAGATCATAGTCCATTCTATAGACTATCCCATAGCATTTATAGACCACAGAATAGACTATAAACCAGTGTGTGGACTAGACCAAAGTGTACATTGGACTATAGTCCAGGCTGCATACTAGAATATAGTACATAGGCTAGAATATAAATTAGACTGTAGCACCGACTATAGACTAGACTAAAGCGTCTACTATAGTACAAACTATAGAATTCAATATAGTCCAGAATATAGATTACACTAAAGTCCAGACTATAGACTAGACTAAAGTACTATAGACTTGAATAATAACTAGACTATAGTCCAGACTATAGACTAGACTAAAGTAAAGACTATAGACTAGACTGTCTACTGACTGACTGTTGCCCAGAATTATATTTCAAAAACTTTTTCTTTTAAGTTCAAAATTGAATTTCAATTAAAAATTTACAGGAAAAAAACAACAATTTGATCTGGATCATTATTATTAGGTTATAGTTTATAGTCGAGATTTGAGAAACACAGAATTCGGTATTGTTTCCCAATATCTTTTGGGTTGAACTACAACAAATGGTTGACAGGATATGGAATGGGAGGTAATTGGACTTGTGGTAACAAATCAATTAGTTATAAGTTAGTAGATGTTAGTTAAAAGTTCTGCCACAAACATCTAGGACATCGCTATGTGAAAGAGGCAGGTTCATTTTAATAAAGTGTTAAATCTAGATCGGTCTCAATGAAACGTCTGGTTTTTATTTTCTTTATTATATTTACACTCAAACTACAAGATTATATTTATTATTTCGTTTATTTTCACAAAAGGAAATATATTCTTTACTTACATCAGAAACTTATCTATCAATATATGTAAAATACCTAAATATATATATCATACATACAAATTAATTACTAAATCACAGACATTAGTTTTCAACATAGTTTTCTAACCACTAATATATGAACTTAATTTACCAAGAAAGTCCTTAACCAGTTCGAATATTGTGGAAGAGTTTGTTGGTACAGCAAGCGGGAAAAATCCATATAGGAGACTAGAGTTATGTTTAGTTGTAATATTTTCTGCGGGTATTGGTATAGGAACTATGTTATAGTAATTATGCACCGGTTGGTGGTAGTAATCTCCCTCAGCATATGGTCCATTATATGTATTGTTATGACTCACATGTATTACGGTTTTATTACCAATAGATATAGTTGAATTTACCATACAAGGTAGAGCAATAGATGTGTCATTGGTTGATGTTACTTCGCACTTTCCAGTACCCTCGCAACTTGTTTCCTCTTTCGTTGTCGTTTCCACATCTTCTGTAGTGGTTTCTTCTGCGCAACTACCACCTTCTTCACAACTTGAAGTTGTTTCTGTTGTTGTCATTTCCACATCTTCTGTAGTGGTTTCTTCTTCGCAACTTCCATCTTCTTCACAACTTGTAGTAGTTACTGTAGTTGTCGTTTCCACATCTTCTGTAGTGATTTCTTCTTCGCAACTTCCATCTTCCTCACAACTTGAAGTTGTTTCTTTCGTAGTCGTTTCTACATCCTCCGTTGTTGTTTCTTCTTCGCAACTTCCATCTTCCTCACAACTTGAAGTTGTTTCTTTCGTAGTCGTTTCTACTTCTTCCGTTGTAGATTCTTCTTCACAACTCTCACTTTCTTCACAACTTGTGTCTCTTTCTTTCGTTGTCGCGTCTACCTCTTCTGTGGTTTCTTCTTCACAACTCTTACTTTCTTCACAGCTTTTGTCAGTGTCTTTCGTTGTAGCATCTACCTTTTCTGTAGTGGTTTCTTGTTCACAACTCTCACTTTCTTCACAACTTTTGTCAATTTCTTTTGTTGTAGTTTCTTCTTCGCAACAAGTGTCCAATTCTTCAGTAGTAGATGTTTCTTCGAGAGTAGTTGTCGATAACTCTACAGCATCGGTGGTTGATCTTGTTTCTCCAGAATCAGTGCTTGTATCTACACTGTGCGTGGTTGACGTTACCACTTCCTCGGTAGTCGATGTCGGTTCTAATGTGCCCGTCACGTCTTTAATAACAGTTGTTGATTCCAATTTTTCTGTTGTTGAAAATTCTGTGGTTGAAGTTTCATCCTCTATGCTTGTTCCTTCAGTATCACTGGTAGTGTCTATTCCTTCGGTGGTTGAAGTTTTTTCATCTGTACTAGTTGTTCCATCAGTAACAGTGCTTGTATCTATACTGTCAGTGGTAGATGCTACCACTTCTACAGTGGTTGATGTTGGTTCTAATGTGCCTGTTACATCTTTAATACCTGTGGTTGTTTCCAACTTTTCTGTTGTTGAAAAGTCGGTGGTCGATGTTTTTTCATCTATACCAGTTGTTTCACTAGTGCTAGTGGTTGCGTCTACTCCTTCCGTGGTCGAAATTTCTTCATCTGTAACAGTAGTTGAAGTTTCTTCTACTGCATCAGAGGTTGTGTCTACTATTTCTGTTGTTGAAATATCTTCTTCTGTTGTAACACTAGTGCCAGTGGTTGTATCTACTCCATCGGAAGTTTCTTCGTCCGCAATAGTTGTTTCAGAAGTAGTACTGTCTATACCATCGGTAGTTGAAATTTCCTCTACTGTACCAATTGTTGATGTTTCTTCATCTGTACCAGTTGTTCCACCAGTGGTAGTGTCCACTTCTTCTGTTGTTGAAGGCTCTTCTTCTGAACCAGTTGTTCCATCAGTGGTAGTTTCTATTTCTTCCGTTGTTGAAGTTTCTTCTCCTATACCAGTTGTTCCACCAGTGGTAGTGTCTACATCTTCTTTTGTTGATGTTTCTTCTTCTAACTCTGTTGTTCCCATAGTGGTATTGTCTACAGCTTCTGCTGTTGAGGATTCTTCTTCTGATCCTGTTGTTACACCAGTGGTAGTGTCCACATCATCTGTTGTTGAAGTTTCTTCTTCTGAACCAGTTGTTCCAGGAGTGGTAATGTCTGTATTTTCTGTTGTTGATGTTTCTTCTCCTGATCCTGTTGTTCCACCAGTGGTAGTGTCTCCTTCTTCTGTTGTTGAAGTTTCTTCTTCTGTACCAGTTGTTCCACCAGTGGTAGTTTCTACATTTTCTGCTGTTGATGTTTCTTCTTCTATAGCAGTTGTTTCACCAGTGGTAGTGTCAACTTCTTCTGCTGTTGAAGTTTCTTCTTCTGAACCAGTTGTTCCACCAGTAGTAGTGTCTATTTCTTCTGTTGTTGATGTTTCTTCTTCTGAACCAGTTGTTCCACCAGTGGTAGTGTCTATTTCTTCTGTTGTTGGTGTTTCATCTTCTGTACGAGTAGTTCTATCAGTGGTAGTGTCTATATCATCTGTGGTTGAGGTTTCTTCTTCTGCATCAGTTGTTTCTTCTTCTGAACCAGTTGTTCCACCGGTGGTAGTGTCTACTTCTGCTGTTGTTGAAGTTTCTTCTTCTGAGCCTGTTGTTCCCGCAGTAGTAGTGTCATCATCTTCTGTTGTAGATGTTTCTTCTTCTGATCCTGTTGTTTCAGTAGTGGTAGTGTCTACTTCTTTTGTTGTTGGAGTTTCTTCTTCTGAACCTGTTGTTCCACCAGTAGTAGTGTCTACTTCTGCTGTTGTTGAAGTTTCTTCTTCTGCACCAGATGTTCCCGCAGTAGTAGTGTCATGATCTTCTGTTGTAGATGTTTCTTCTTCTGATCCTGTTGTTTCTGCAGTGGTAGTGTCTATTTCTTCTGTCGCTGATGTTTCTTCTTTACCAGTTGATCCTGCAGTGGTAGTGTCTATATCTTCTGTTGTTGATGTTTCTTCTTCTGGACCTGTTGTTCCACCATTGGTAGTGTCTACTTCTTCTGTTGTTGAAGTTTCCTCTTCTGATCCTGTTGTTCCACCAGTTGTAGTGTCTACTCCATCTGTTGTTGAAGTTTCTTCTTCCGTAGCAGTGTCTACTTCTTCCGTTGTTGAAGTTTCTTCTTCAGTACCAGTTGTTGTTGATGTTCCCTCATCTGTACTTGTTGTTCCACTAGTTGTAGTGTCTACTTCACCCGTGGTTGACTCATCTGTGCCAGTTGTTCCATCAGTAGCAGTGCTTGTATCTACAATGTCAGTGGTAGATGTTACCACTTCTCCTGTGGTTGATGTTGGTTCTAATGTCCCTGTTACATCTTTAATACCTGTGGTTGTTTCCAAATTCTCTGTCGTTCCTTCCTCTCTATCAGTCGTTGTATCCACTATTTCGGTTGTTGAGGTCTCTTCTTCTGTACCAGTTATTCCACTAGTGCCAGTGGTTGTATCTACTACTTCGGTTGTTGATGTTACTTCAATAGCAATAGTTGTTTCAGAAGTGGTAGTGTCTACTACTTGGGTAGTAGAAACGTCTTCTGCACTAGTTGTTTCACCAGTAGAAGTATCTACCCCTTCGGTGGTAGAAGTTTCCTTATCTCTAGCGGTGGTAGTGTCTGCCCCTTCTGTGGTTGAGGTTTCTTCTTCTTTACCAGTTGTTTCTCCTTCTATACCAGTTGTTTCTTCTTTTGAAACAGTTGTTCCTCCAGTAGTAGTGTCTACTTCTTCTGTTGTTGAAGTTTCTTCTTCTGCACTCGTTGTTCCACCAGTGGTAGAGTCTACTCTTTCAGTTGTTGAAGTTTCTTCTTCTGTAGCAGTTGTTTCAGCAGTGGTAGTGTCTACTCCTTCTGTTGTTGATGTTTCTTCTTTACCAGTTGTTCCCGTAGTGGTAGTGTCTACATCTTCTGTTGTTGATATTTCTTCTTCTGATCCTGTGGTTCCACCAGTGGTAGCGTCTACATCTTCTGTTGTTGTATCTCCTTCTGAACCTGTAGTTCCACCTGCGGTAGTGTTCGCTTCTTCTGTTGTTGAAGTTTCTTCTTCTGTGCCAGTTGTTCCCGCAGTGGTAGTGTCTCCTTCTTCTGTTGTTGAAGTTTCTTCTTCTGATCCTGTTGTTTTAGCGGTTGTAGTGTCTATTTCTTCTGTTGTTGATGTTTCTTCTTCTGATCCTGTTGTTTCACCAGTGGTAGTGTCCACTACTTCTGTTGTTGAAGTTTCATCTTCTGAACCAGTTGTTCCATCAGTTGTAGTGTCTACTTCTTCTGTTGTTGAAGTTTCTTCTTCTGTACCAGTTGCTCCATCAGTGGTAGTGTCTACATCTTCTGTGGTTGAAGTTTCTTCTTCTGTACCAGTTGTTCCACCAGTGGTAGTGTCTACATCTTCTATTGTTGTATCTCCTTCTGAACCTGTTGTTCTACCAGTGGTAGTGTCTATTTCTGCTGTTGTTGAAGTTTCTTCTTCTGTGCCAGTTGTTCCCGCAGTGGTAGTGTCTACATCTTTTGTTGTAGATGTTTCTTCTTCTGATCCTGTTGTTTCAGCAGTGGTAGTGTCCTTTTCTTCTGTTGTAGATGTTTCTTCTTTACCAGTTGTTACTGTAGTGGTAGTGTCTACATCTTCTGTTGTTGATGTTTCTTCTTCTGAACCTGTTGTTCCACCAGTGGTAGTGTCTGTTGTTGAAGTTTCTTCTTCTGTAACAGTGTCTATTCCTTCTGTTGTTGAAGTTTCTTCTTCAGTGCCAGTTGTTGTTGATGTTTCCTCATCTGAACTTGTTGTTCCACTAGTTGTAGTGTCTATTTCACCCGTGGTTGATGTTTCCTTATCTGTGCCAGTTGTTCCATCAGTGGCAGTGCTTGTATCTACACTGTCAGTTGTAGATGTTACCACTTCTCCTGTGGTTGTTGTTGGTTCTAATGTGCCTGTTACATCTTTAATACCTGTGGTTGTTTCCAAATTTTCTGTCGTTTCTTCCACTGTACCAGTTGTTTCTTCTTTTGAACCAGTTGTTCCACCAGTAGTAGTGTCTACTTGTTCTGTTGTTGAAGTTTCTTCTTCCGCACTCGTTGTTTCACCTGTGGTAGTGTCTTCATCTACTGAACCTGTTGTTCTACCAGTGGTACTGCCTACTTCTTCTGTTGTTGAAGTTTCTTCTCCTGAACCTGCTGCTCCACCAGTGGTAGTGTCTACTCCTTCAGTTGTTGAAGTTTCTTCTTCTGTACCAGTTGTTCCTTCATTTGTAGTTGTTCCACTTGTTGTAGTGTCTATTTCACTAGTGGTTGAAGTTTCCTCATCTGAGCCAGTTGTTCCATCAGTAGCAGTGCTTGTATCTACACTGTCAGTGGTAGATGTTACCACTTCTCCAGTGGTTAATGTTGGTTCTAATGTGCCTGTTACATCTTTAATACCTGTGGTTGTTTCCAAATTCTCTGTCGTTTCTTCCTCTCTACCAGTCGTTGTGTCCACTATTTCGGTTGTTGAGGTCTCTTCTTCTGTACTAGTTATTCCACTAGTGCCAGTGGTTGTATCTACTGCTTCGGTGGTTGATGTTTCCCAATCAGCAATAGTTGTTTTAGGAGTGGTAGTGTCTACTCCTTGGGTGGTAGAAACGTCTTCTGCACTAGTTATTTCACGTGTAGAAGTGTCTACACTTTCGGTGGTAGAAGTTTCTTCATCTCTAGCGGTGGTAGTATCTGCTCCTTCTGTGGTTGAGGTTTCTTCTTCTGTACCAGTTGTTCCAGGAGTAGTTGTAACTTCCCCTTCAGTAGTGGAAGATTCTTCTTCAGCGTCGGTTGTTTCAACAGTTGTAGTGTCCATTGCTTCGGCGGTTGAAGATTCCTCTTCTGTAGTAGTTGTTTCTGTTTCTCCAGTAGTTGAAGTTTCTTCATCTGTAGCAGTAGTTGAGTCGGCTTTCTCGGTTGTTGAGGTTTCTTCTTTTGCATCAGTTGTCACAGCAGGGGTAGTTTCTACTCCATCAGTGGTTGATGTTTCTTCTTCGGTTTCAGTTATTCCTGCAGTTGTAGTGTCTATGCCTTCTGTGGTTGAAGTTGTATCTAACCTGTCAGTGGTAGACGTTGCCACTTCTTCGGTGGTTGATGTCGATTCGAATGTGTCTGTTACATCTTTAATTCCTGTAGTTGTTTCTAATTCGGTGGTTGTAGTTTTTTCATCTATACCAGTGGTTCCGCCAGTTGTAGTATCTACTCCTTCGGTGGTAGAAGTTTCTTCTTCCGCACTAGTTCCATCAGTGGTAGTGTCTACCCCTTCGGTGCTTGAAGTTACCTCTTCAGTAATAGTTGTTTCTACTTCTTTGGTTGTTGAGGTATCTTCTTCTGTACCGGTTGTTCCATCAGTGGTAGTGTCAACTTCTTCGGTAGTTTCTTCTTCTGTACCAGTTAGTCCTACAGTTGTAGTGTCTATATCTTCAGTGGTTTCTTCTTCTGTGCCAGTTGTTTCACCAGCGGCAGTCGTTGTATCTGTTGAAGAGTCTTCATCAGTGGCGGTTGTTCCGCCAGTTGTAGTGTCTACTTCTTCGGTAGTTGAAGTTTCTTCTTCCGCACCAGTTGTTCCACCAGTAGCAGGTTCTACCCCTTCGGTGGTTGAAGTTTCTTCTTCCGCACCAGTTGTTCCACCAGTAGCAGGTTCTACCCCTTCGGTGGTTGAAGTTTCTTCTTCGGTACCAGTTATTCCTGTAGTTGTAGTGTCTATATCTTCAGTTGTTTCATCATCTGTGTCAGTTGTTTCACCAGCAGCAGTGGTTGTGTCTATTCCTTCAGTGGTAGATGATTCTTCAACGGCGGCAGTTGTTTCTACAGTGGTAGTATCTACTTCTTCGTTGGTTGAAGTTCCTTCTTCTGTACCAGTTGTTCGGCCAGTGGTTGTTTCTACTTCTTCGGTGGATGAGGTTTCTTCGTCTGTACCAGTTGTTCCGCTAGTTGTAGTGTCTACTACTATGGTGGTTGAAATTTCTTCATCTGTACCAGTTATTCCATCTGTGGTTGTTTCTACTTCTTCGGTTGTTGATGTTTCTTCTTCTGTATCAGTTGTTTCAGCAGTGGTAGTGTCTACTTCTTCGGTGCTTGATGTTTCTTCTTCAGTTATTCCTACAGTTGTACTGTCCGTTCCTTCTTCTTCTGTACTAGTTGTTTCATCAGTTCCAGTGCTTGTATCTACACTGTCAGTGGTAGACATTGTCACATCTTGAGTTGTTGATGTCGGTTCTAATGTGCCTGTTACATCTTTAATTCCTGTAGTTGTTTCTAATTCGGTGGTTGATGTTTCTTCATCTGAACCATTTGTTGCAACGGTGGAAGTGTCTACTCCTTCAGTGGTTGAAGTTTCTTCATCTGTACTAGTGGTTCCGCCAGTTGTAGTGTCTACTCCTTCGGTGGTTGAAATTTCTTCTTCTGCACCAGTTGTTCCGACAGTGGTATTGTCTATTCCTTCGGTAGTTGAGGTTTGTTCTTGTGTATCAGTTGTTCCACCAGTGGTTGTAGTTTCTTCTTGTGAACCTGCTGTTTCATCAGTGCCAGTAGTTGTGTCGACTCCTTCGTTAGTTGAAGTTTCTTCATCAACAGCAGTTGTAGTGTCTACTTCTTCGGTGGTTGAAGTTTCTTCGTCAGTACTAGTTACTGCTACAGTTGTAGTGACATCTCTTTCTGTGGTTGAAGCTTCTTTTTCTGTTGTAGTTGTTTCATCAGTATCAGTGCTGGTTTCTACACTGTCAGTGGTAGACGTTGCCACATCTTCAGTTGTTGATGTCGGTTCTAATGTGCCTGTTACATCTTTAATTCCTGTAGTTGTTTCTAATTCGGTGGTTGATGTTTCTTCGTCTGAACCATTTGTTGCAACGGTGGAAGTGTCTACTCCTTCGGTAGTTGAAGTTTCTTCATCTGTACTAGTGGTTCCACCAGTTGTAGTGTCTACTCCTTCGGTGGTTGAAATTTCTTCTTTTGCACCAGTTGTTACGACAGTGGTAGTGTCTATTCCTTCGGTAGTTGAGGTTTGTTCTTGTGTATCAGTTGTTCCACCAGTGGTTGTAGTTTCTTCTTGTGAACCTGCTGTTTCATCAGTGCCAGTAGTTGTGTCGACTCCTTCGTTAGTTGAAGTTTCTTTATCAACAGCAGTTGTAGTGTCTACTTCTTCGGTGGTTGAAGTTTCTTCGTCAGTACTAGTTAGTCCTACAGTTGTAGTGACGTCTCTTTCTGTGGTTGAGGCTTCTTTTTCTGTTGTAGTTGTTTCATCAGTGTCAGTGCTTGTTTCTACACTGTCAGTGGTAGACGTTGCCACATCTTCAGTTGTTGATGTCGGTTCTAATGTCTCTGTTACATCTTTAATTCCTGTAGTTGTTTCTAATTCGGTGGTTGAAGTTTCTTCGTCTGAACCATTTGTTGCAACGGTGGAAGTGTCTACTCCTTCGGTGGTTGAAGTTTCTTCATCTGTACTAGTGGTTCCGCCAGTTGTAGTGTCTACTCCTTCGGTGGTTGAAATTTCTTCTTCTGCACCAGTTGTTCCGACAGTGGTAGTGTCTATTCCTTCGGTAGTTGAGGTTTGTTCTTGTGTATCAGTTGTTCCACCAGTGGTTGTAGTTTCTTCTTGTGAAACTGTTGTTTCATCAGTGCCAGTAGTTGTGTCGACTCCTTCGTTAGTTGAAGTTTCTTCATCAACAGCAGTTGTAGTGTCTACTTCTTCGGTGGTTGAAGTTTCTTCGTCAGTACTAGTTACTCCTACAGTTGTAGTGTCGTCTCCATCTGTGGTTGAGGCTTCTTTTTCTGTTGTAGTTGTTTCATCAGTACCAGTGCTTGTTTCTACACTTTCAGTGGTAGACGTTGCCACATCTTCAGTTGTTGATGTCGGTTCTAATGTGCCTGTTACATCTTTAATTCCTGTAGTTGTTTCTAATTCGGTGGTAGATGTTTCTTCATCTGTACTAGTTGTTCCACCTGTAGTAGTATCTACCCCTTCGGTGGTTGAAGTTTCTTCTTCTGTACCAGTGGTTCCACCAGTGGTTGTTTCTGCCGCTTCGGTGGTTGTAGTTTCCTCTTCAGTACCTGTTGTTGCGGCAGTGGTAGAGTCTAGTTTTTCGGTGGTTGAAGTTTCTTTTTCTGTGCCAGTTATTCCACTTGTACCAGTGGTTGTATCTACTTCTTCAGTAGTAGATGTTTCTTCTCCTATACCAGTTGTGCTATCAATACCAGTGGTTGTGTCTGTTACATCTGTTGTTGTTGTCAATGATCCGCTGTCGATTGGCGGGCAGGCAAAAGGAAATGTAGCTATCCAAACTATAAGAAAATAAGAATTAATGGTTGTGCTTTTGTTCATTTCAATTTGCTTATTTATAGATACTTACTGACACCCGTATTATGTATTTCTTTGTTCATTTGACATTCATTGGTAAATGTGCGAAATTGATCTAAATCTTCGGAGTAAGCGCATATGGGTATTTTTTCATCTGTACACTTATCGAAAATTGTCTTACAGTGCGCTAGTTTTATTAAACACCAATCTAGAATAAAAGTGTTAATATTATTTATAATGGAATTTAGGGTTTTTTTAGTTACTTACATTGTCCAGTATGGCGTATTTCCAACATTAAGGCTTGTACACTGGCAAACGTTTTATAATATCCTTTGTAAAAGGCACAAACAGGAGTTTGATAATAATCCATGGGATATGTGTAAGTCTGACTTACAATGGTTATTAATGTAATTATATTTACGAGAAAACATTTCATTTCGTTTTTTGCACCAACAAATTTTTAAACTTAATGTAATGAAATTTAAGGCCAAATTTCTATTTATACCAAAGACAAATTTACAGCCGTAAAAATTCCTTTGTTTTAAATTTTATTACATTTACATAAAAAATTCTTGCACTTTTACCTTTGTTTATACATTTTTTTAAACTTTTGTAACACATTTAAAGTTTGTATTAGGTTTATTTTTAAAAACACGTATTAGAATTAGAATTTTGCACATTTTTTAAATTGTTTATACGAGAAGACGTGAGACATGAGATTTTAATGTAAAATAATGTCGTTGTATTTTTAAGAGGATTTTACGTTTTAAGATCTAATAGGAAATTGCGGCTTAAGTTTTTTTTATATTGGGCTGTTTTTCGTGTTAGGTTTACAACTTGTAGGTGTTTTACATGTGTTTAGCGCTATAGGTCTATGATTAATATTAAATTTTAAAATTTCATTCATAAATTTTTGTAAATTACTTAGGTGTTGAGTTTTTACTTAATAAAACAATGAGGAACCAAAGTTGTGTTTTAAGCACGTTCTTTAAGACTTGTTTTATTGAATGGTTTGTAATGTTGAGTTTTGTTTTTGTTTTTTTCTCTATGATAATAAGACTTTCTTCATTTCATGTTGAGCTTTTTTTTTAGTTTTTAAGTTTAAAACAATTTAAAAACCATTTCTTTGTTATTTTACCATATTAGAACTTAATGGAAGTTCTGACGTTAAGCATCATGATCTCTTTCTTGGTTATAATTTGTTTAATGGTTTTTAATAATGTTTGGGGAGAATTTAAAGAAATTTATAATTATCCGGGATTTCCTCTACCTTTGGCTTCCACACCTTTACAGCCAACACCCTGCCAAGTTAAGGGACCCGTATGTGGAGTTTTGAATGATGTTTTTAAAACTTTTGAAAATTTAAATGAATTTAGTGAGGATGTAAGACAGGGAAATGGTGAGTGTTTTTGGCAAAAATAATATAAAGATTCTGTTAATAAATTCTGCAATTTCAGCTTGGCGTTTCTTTCGTTTTGGGGCCTGTCCCGTGATAAAAACTGTATGTGCCAAATTTGACAATGAAATTGCCACATTTGATAACATATTAGCTTTAGAAGAGGATAAATATATGAGCAAAAAAGGTATAAACAATTGAATTTTAAAACTTAAGCTACTCTTTTAAAAGTTTTGTTAAAAATCTCTTTAAAGATTGGACTTTAATACCCTGTCCTTTGAAACCTGTTTGCGCCCAATATTTTTCCGAATTTCGAGTATTTGAAAGTCTTATGCAAATGCAGCAGGAAACTGCTCTTTCTGGCAAAAGTAAGTTATTTTAGATTCTCTCTGAAAACTTTTTTTAACACATAATTTTCAAACAGAATGGTTAGCAATGGACCCCTGTCCCACCTGTGTGGAATTTGATCAAGAATATCAGGTTTTTCTTAATGCTACATCTTTGGAAGTGGAGAAATCTATTACGGGAAAAAGTAAGTGTTAATAAGGCTTATTCCTAAAGAGTAAAGAACTTATAGCGCTTAACTTTTATTTATATAGATTGGTTACCCACTCCCTGTTCTGAATTGGTGTGTGCTAGATATAATAACGAGTTTAAATCTTTTAAAAATCTTTTACATTTAAATGCCGAAAATCTTAGTACGGAGAAAAGTAAGTGTTATTAACTTATTATAGTCAACTTTTGTAATCGAATATTTTCTTTACAATTCAGCTTGGCTTCAAGTTTACAATGGCATATGTGGAGCTTTTCAAATAAACGATACTAATACCACATCTACCTCACCACTAAATACTGCCAACAATTCAAATTCAACTGTAGAATCTACTTTAGACCCAGTCACAATTTTACCAACTTCTTTTAGTCCTCCTACCATACACTCTACAACTTCTTGTAAAACTCCAAGACCTAAATCAACTTCTTCTACCAAAAGGACCACGATTCGCCGCACAACTCCTCGTAGGAAACCATCCTCCACATCTCTACCAGAAACTAGTTCAACACCCTCTTTTTCATCAAGTGCCTTGACAACTCTTCCTATAACCATCACCAGTTTAACGGAAAACTCCACAGATCCCAGTACAACTGATGCTATCATAGAATCTGCCACTTCTTCTACAACTCCAGACAGCACTACGGACCTAAGCACACTTCCCACTAATTCTAACATGACAACCACCTCTAACACCACCCCACTGACAAATTCAAGTATACTAGATCATACTATATGGAATACACCCCATCCCACTCCCTCTACAACATCCACAACACCTATTCATTCCACTAGTCCCCCTGCAACAACTGCTACACCATTCATTACTAACACTACAACCCAACGTCCTACTTCCGGCCCCACAACAGCATCCAGCACAGAATTTACTTCAACAACAATCACACATACTACAACAACACCATTTCCATCACCATCCTTCAAAAATTCTACAAAAACCACAGCTAAACCTTCACCTTGCTCTACCAGACCTACCACGACCACACGATCAAAACCTTGTTGCAAAAGTACTCCTAAAACCAAACCCAATAATGTAACACCTCCCACTATCTCTCACTCTACAATATATTCCGAACAACTTATACAAATAATACGCAATCAAACAGGTAACCAGTATAATGGTCCCTATGTTGAGGGTCCTTTCTATTATAAGTCGAATGTTTTTCAACGAGCCGATCTGCAATCATTACCACCAAATTTTCCTTGGTTTCCTTTTAGGTAATTAACTAAGATCCATTAGTTTTTGTTTATATTTGATAATGTGTTTTGTTATTATTGTTTTTTTAATAAATTAAAAAATTTTGGAGAAAAATTACTTGATTTTTTCATTAAAAATTGTATTTTTGAAAAGAAAAAAGATTTTTTTACAAAAATTCCTATTTCTTATAGTCGAGAGTGTAGTCTAATCTATAGGTGGCGATATTATGGACCAATCGACTAATCTGTAGTCGAGACTATAGTCTAATATGGAGTCGAAACTATAGTCTAATATAGAGTCGAAACTATAGTCTAATCTAGAACAATCAATAGTCGAAACTATAGCCTTACCTATAGTAGAGACTATAGTCTAATCTATAGTCGAGACTATAGTTTAATCTATAGTAGAGATTATAGTATAATCTATAGTCGAGACTATAGCCTAATCTATAGTTGAGGCTAAAGTCTGATCTATAGTCCAGACTAAAGTCTGCTCTATAGTCTAATCTAGAGTCGAGACTATAGTCTAATCTAGAGTCGAGACTATAGTCTTACCTCGAATATAGATTAGTCGAGACAATAATCTAATCAATAGTCGAGACTGTAGTCGAATCTGTAGTATAATCGATAGTAGAGACTTTAGTCTCATCTAAAACCGAGTCTATAGGTTAATCGATAGCCGAGACTATAGCCTAATCTATAGTAGAGACTATAGTATAATCTGTAGTCGAGACTATAGTCTAATATGTAGTCGTACTTTTTATTTTATAGTCGAGGCTATAGTCTAATCTGTAGTCAAGAGTATAGTCAAGAGTATAGTCAAGACCTATAGTCAAGAGCTATGGTCTAATCTGTAGCCTTATAAATAGTCGAAACTTTACTCTTATCTGTAGTCGATACTATAATCAATTGTATAGTCGAGACGAGACTGTAGTTCACTGGCAAGTTTATAGTCAATACTATAATGTACTATATTGCTGACTATAGCCCAATCTAAAGTCTAAGCTATAGTCGCTACCATAGTATAATCTCAAGTGCAGACTATAGTTTTATATATGGTTAAAACTTTAGTTTAAACCATAGTCGAGGCTATAGTGCAATAAAATATAAAACAAATAAATTACAAGCATAACATTTACAAACTTAATAATCCATTTAATAAAATATCTCCTTTCCTTTGTTAATATATTTAAATTATAATAATAAATAATTTATAAATAGTCAACGTTTTATTTTAATCCAGTTTAAATTAAATTTTTAATTCAACTGCAACATACCACAAAATCACGTACGTTTTTTTTTTTGTATTAAAAATCTATAAAAATATTACAAATGTTTGTAAAAGTAACAAATGTATATTTATTGAACTCATAAAATGTAATGAATATTATAATTTTTTTAACAAGAAACGTTAGTTTTTAGAAGCCCTTTAACAAAACAACATGTTAAACTATTTAGTAGTTTTAATACTCTTAATAAATTCAACTTATGGAGTTTATTACAACCCTTTACAAGGGAACTATATACCACCCAGCTATTTGCAACCGATACCTTATCGACATTATAAATATGAACCAGCATTACCTCCACCACCACCTCCTAATCCATATCGTGTATGTGGATTTTTGCATGGTATTTTTCAAAACTTTTGCAATATGGACGAATTAAAACAACAACAAAATCTAGGCTATAGTAAGTTATAAACGATATATATAAACATATATCAAAAAGTTCTTATCCTACAGATTGGCAATTTTATGGTTATGGTTATTGTCCTCAGCCTCAAGATAATTCCACCAATATCTTTACACCAATATGTGCTACATTTGAAAATGAAATACGAAAATTTAACAACATATTGGCATTGGAATTGGAAAGGTATAACTCGGGTAAAAGTAAGTATATTCACTCAAAATAAGCACTTAAAGACCCCTTAAAACCTATATATGTATGTATTCTAAATTTCTTTAGGCTGGTCTATTGTCCACTGTCCTATTACCAACACCACTATATGTGCCTCTTATTGCAATGAGAAGCGTTTGTTTAGAGATTTAATTGCTTTAGAACTGGATAGATTTTTAACAGGAAAAGGTAAGTAAATTATTTTCAGAGCAACAGAGGCTTAAATATGACAATAAATATTTTCAGATTGGATTTTGGAATCTTGCCCAGATTTAACCACACCCATATGTCTCAAGGATGAAAAAAATACTCAAAGTAGTACGGGCAGTTCAACTACTCAGGAATATCAATTAAGTAAGCGAATAATCTAAAAATTTAATTTGTTGACAATTTATAGATTTAATGATTTAATAATAACATCTAAAGGTTGGATCATAATACCTTGTGGAAGTCATTATGATACAACCACTACAGAATCTACAACTACTGATGAAATAACAACAGAATTAACAAGCACGGATAAAACAACAACAGATGAAACAACTATTACGGATAAAGCAGGAGCAGAAGCAACACCAACTGATAAGACAACCACAGAAATTGCAGCTACCGATCCAACAACAACTGATAAAACAACAACAGAAGAGTCAACTGCAGATCCAGCAACCACAGATAAAACAACAAAAGCTTCGAATACAGAACCAACAACAAAAGAAGAATTATTAACTACAGAAGTAACAACAACTGATAAGACAACAACAGAAGCTTCAACTACTGAACCAACAACCACGGATAAAACAACAACAGAAGCTTCAATTACGGAACCAATAACGACTGATAAAATAATAGAAACTTCAACCACAGAACCAACAACAACAGAAGCTTCAACTACTGATCCAACAACCACTGATAAAACTAAAACTGAGGTATCAACTACAGTTCCAACATCCACTGATAAACCAACAACTATAGAACCTACTTCTACTGATATAGAATCAACAAAAAGCGATAAAACAACAACAGAAGGAAAAACCACGGATATAGCAGGAGCAGAAGAAACACCAGTGAAAACTACTGCAGAAGCAACAGACAATACTACACCAGAATCGTCAACTACTGATCCTACAGAACCTATAACTACTGATAAAATACCAACTACAGAGCCTACAACCACTGATAAAACAACAGAAGCTTCAACTACAGAACATACAACCACTGATAGAACAACAGAACCATCAAAAGTCTTAAGTACAGAACCTGCAAGTGATAAAACAACAAATGATTCAACTAGAGAACCTACAAACCCTGATAAAACAACAGGCGCTTCAACTATAGAACCAGCCACTACAGATAAAACAAGTGATCATTCAACTACAGAACTTACAACCACTGATAAAACAACAGATGATTCAAGTGCAGAACCTGCAAGCACTGATAAAACAATACAACCATCAACTACGGAACCTACAACCACAGATAACACAACAGCAGAGATATCAACTATAGAACCAATAACTACTGATAAATCAACAGAAGCTTCAACTACAGAACCTACAACAACTGATAACACAACAGCAGAAGCATCAACTACAGAATCTACAACCACTGATAAAACAACAGTTGATTCAACTTCAGGACCTACAACCACTAGTAAAACAACAGATGATTCAACTACAGAACCTACAAACACTGATAAAACAACAGAAGCTTCAACTACAGAACCTACAACATTCGATAAAACAGCAAAATCTACAACCACTGATAAACCATCAGATGCTTCAACTACAGATTTAATCAATACTGATAAAACAACAATAGAAGCATTACCAATGGTTATTACAACAACAAAGGTCATAGATAGAACAACATCAGAACCAACATCAACTGCTAAAACTACAGAATCTTCGACTAAAGAACCAGTAACCACTGATAAAACAACAACAGCGGCTGCAACTGTCAAGGATGAAACAACAACTGAAGATTTAAGTAAAACAACTATAGAGGCTTCAACTACGGAAGCAACAACTACTGATAAAACGACAACAGAACTAACAACCACTGATAAAACAACAGAAGTTTTGACTACTGAAAAACCACCTACTGATGAATCAACAGAAGCTTCAACTACAGAAAAAACAACAAGAGAAGCTTCAACTGCAGAACCAACGACTACTAGCAAAACAACAGAAACTGCAACTTCAGTATCAACAACCACTGATGAAACAACAACTGAATCTTCAACTAAAGAACCAACAACCACCGATAAAACAACTACTGAGCCAACAACCACAGATAAAACAACAGAAGCTTCGACTACAGAACCAACAACCACTGATAAAACAACAACAGAAGCTGCGACTACAGAACCTACAACCACTGATAAATCATCAGATACTTCAACTACAGATTTAATCACTACTGATAAAACAACAATAGAAGCATCTAGTACAGAACCAACAACGACTGATACAACTACAGCAGAAGCAACAACTACGGATATAGCAGGAGCTGAAGCAACACCTATGGATATTACAACAACAGAGGTCACTGACAGAACAACATTAGAGCCAACATCAACTGCTAAAACTACAGAACCAACAACTACTGATAAAACAACAACAGCAGCTACAACTGTCATAGATGAAACGATAACTGAAGATTCAAGTACTACTGATAAAACAACTATAGAGACTTCAACTACTGAAGCAACAACTATTGACAAAACGACAACAAAACTAACCACTACTGATAAAACAACCGAAGCTTCGACTCCAAACACAACAACTTCTGATGAATCAACAGAAGCTTCAACTGCAGAAAAAACAACTACTGATAAAACGACAACAGAACCAACAACCACAGATAGCACACCTGAAGCTTCGACTACAGAACCAACAACCACTGATAAAACAACAACAGAAGTTTCAACTTCTGAACCAACAACCACAGATAAAACAACAGAAGGTTCGACTACAGAACCAACAACCACAGATAGCACAACTGATGCTTCGACTACAGAACCAACAACCACAGATAAAACAACAGAAGCTTCGACTACAGAACCAACAACCACTGATAAAACAACGACAGAAGTATCAACTACTGAACCAACAACCACGGATAAAACAACAACAGAAGTTTCAACTTCTGAACCAACAACCACAGATAAAACAACAGAAGCTTCGACTACAGAACCAACAACCACTGATAAAACAACGACAGAAGTATCAAATACTGAACCAACAACTACAGATAAAACAACAGAAGGTTCGACTACAGAACCAACAGCCACAGATAGCCCAACTGATGCTTCGACTACAGAACCAACAACCACAGATAAAACAACAGAAGCTTCGACTACAGAACAAACAACCACAGATAAAACAACAGAAGCTTCGACTACAGAACCAACAACCACTGATAAAACAACGACAGGAGTATCAAATACTGAACCAACAACCACAGATAAAACAACAGAAGCTTCGACTACAGAACCAACAACCACTGATAAAACAACGACAGAAGTATCAACTACTGAACCAACAACCACGGATAAAACAACAACAGAAGTTTCAACTTCTGAACCAACAACCACAGATAAAACAACAGAAGCTTCGACTACAGAACCAACAACCACTGATAAAACAACGACAGAAGTATCAAATACTGAACCAACAACTACAGATAAAACAACAGAAGGTTCGACTACAGAACCAACAACCACAGATAGAACAACTGATGCTTCGACTACAGAACCAACAACCACAGATAAAACAACAGAAGCTTCCACTACAGAACCAACAACCACAGATAGCACAACTGATGCTTCGACTACAGAGCCAACAACCATAGATAAAACAACTGAAGCTTCGACTACAGAACCAACAACCACTGATAAAACAACAACAGAAGTATCAACTACTGAACCAACAACTGCAGATAAAACAACAGAAGGTTCGACTACAGAACCAACAACCACAGATAGCACAACTGATGCTTCGACTACAGAACCAACAACCACTGATAAAACAACAACAGAAGTATCAACTACTGAACCAACAACTGCAGATAAAACAACAACAGAAGTTTCAACTACTGAACCAACAACCACAGATAAAACAACAGAAGGTTCGACTACAGAACCAACAACCACAGATAGCACAACTGATGCTTCGACTACAGAACCAACAACCACTGATAAAACAACGACAGAAGTATCTACTGAACCAACAACCACGGATAAGACAACAACAGAAGATTCAACTACTGAACCAACAACCTCGGATAAAACAACAACAGAAGTTTCAACTACTGAACCAACAACCACAGATAGCACAACTGATGCTTCGACTACAGAGCCAACAACCATAGATAAAACAACAGAAGCTTCGACTACAGAACCAACAACCACTGATAAACCAACTACTGAACCAACAACTACAGATAAAACAACAACAGAAGTTTCAACTACTGAACCCACAACCACAGATAAAACAACAGAAGCTTCGACTACAGAACCAACAACCACAGATAACACAACAGAAACTTCGACTACAGAACCAACAACTACTGATAAAACAACGACAGAAGTATCAACTACTGAACCAACAACCACGGATAAAGCAACAACAGAAGATTCAACTACTGAACCAACAACCACAGATAAAACAACAAAAGCTTCGACTACAGAACCAACCACAGAAGTGTCAACTACAAAATCGACAACTTCCGATAAAACAACAACAGAAACTACTGCAACTAATGAAACAACAACGGAAGAATCTATAGAAATTACAACTTCTATGTGTAATCATGATTCTACAACTTCTAAATGTAATCATGGCATTTCCCAACCGAAACGTTCGCCGATTTTAATGCAAATTAATCGTAATCAGTTGAAAAGCACATACAATGGAGCCTATTTTGAGGGACCATTCTTTTATAAATCTAATATAACAATGACTAATTAATTTTCTTGCTTATATTTTAGTGGATAAAAGAAGCTTAACTATTTGAATAGTGGGGCGAAACGAGAAGTTTTTTTAAAGACCCCTAATGGGAATTATGGAATGATGTTATTGAAATGAACAAAGGAAATGCGGTTATTTGGTGTGACGTTTTTATTTTTTTAAATTTTTATTTTTTTTAAATTTTTATGCTACTTTCTCACGTTTGATTTAAGTTTATTTTTAGAAAAGAACAGGTATTTTTGTGATAATTAGAAATTTGCATTAATTTGTAAATATGTATTGAAGCATTAAAGTTTTAATAAATTAATAGTTGTTTGTATTGGGAAGAATTGGGAAAAAGTATATAAAGAGTTGCTAAAAAAATTGCAGCAACAGTTTATAAGTGATTAATAAAGTGACATGCATTTCTTTTGCTGTTGTTTAGTTTTAAGTTTACTAAGCTTTTCGAAAGCTTATACAAATTATAAAAGTTACCAAAAGGATTATACAAGGGATTATCCAAGTGATTATTGTGTATTGGGTAATACACCAGTTTGTGGTACAAATGGTCATGAGTATTTCCTTTTGGAAAATGAGTGTGAATTTAATAATTTCAATAGTAAACAATTGGAAAAGGGACAATTGGGTAAGTGGTTTGTAAAAGAAGTTAATAATGTATGACTAATTTGAAATTTTTGGCGTTTTTGTAGTTTTGTTCAAAACTTCCATAGATTCTTGCTATCCACCGCCTTCACCCTTAACTTATGATCAACCCAAGTATGATAACTACTGTCCACAATATTGCAACAAAATCTTTAAACCGCTTTGTGCCTCCTATCGCAATGAACAGCGCAATTTTACCAATGAATGTCTATTGAAAAAACATATTTGTGAAACCAAAGAAAGTAAGTTTCTTCTTAAGAAATACATTAGACATTAACAATCTTAATATATCTCTTAGATTGGCAGGTGATATTGAATGGCACTTGTGTATCAGCTTCCTGTGCCTTAGATGGTCAGGAAATTTGCGCCTCTCTCAATGGTTATACCCAAAGCTTTCCCAATCTTTTGAGTTTATATGGTGAAATACAAACGCGAGGAAAAGGTTAGTAGGTCCGTAAAAAATAAATTTAAATTTTAATAGGGTTTTTATACTTTCAGATTGGCAAATTTTAAATGTGGGACCCTGTCCTTGTCCCGAGGACTATAGACCCATATGTGCTCAATTGAATTGTACGGCTAAGACTTTTACCAATGAATGCTTTTTAGAAAGAGAAATTAAAAATGGTTCACGTAAGTAATATAGATTTGTTGAAGTATTTCTCTTAATGCAATATTTTCAGACTGGTCCATTTTATTCTTTGGAGAATGTCCGGAGTTACCGACGTCAACAGCTGCCCCTAAAAATGCCGACAATGATGTGGATGATGGTGCCGCAAGTGGTGATGGTCCTTTGGATGTAGATGATGCTATAGCGAAATCTTTAAATGAGGAACCCAAAACACGCATGAATAAACCCGTCTATATAGTAAAGAAAAACCAAATAAGTCCCTATATACCGACAATATATCCAAATAAACCCCCCGCAAAACCTAATGACTATCATCATCCTTATAATACCGACAAATCCCACAAAAAATCTTATGAAAAATCTCCTAAAAAGAATTATGAAAAATATGCGAAAGCACCCGGCCCATCCAAAGCTTTATATAACGATCACGATGCCGATATGTTTAGCAATACTATATATAATTATGCTGCCAATGTTAATCCTCCCGATTATCAAAGTTTCTTTAAACCTTTAAATGCTCCTCTAACAGTATCGGCTCTTTCCTTAGTCTCTTCCGGTTATAATAACGATTTATATGCTGCTCAGACTGTTACCGATTTAAAATATCAAAATCATTATGCAGCTCCATATAATCCCGTATCGATTACTACCTATTCACACATGCCCATTAATAATTATGATGATGTTAATTATAATGATGAGGATTTATATGATTCCTTATATGAATCTTTTACGTAAATTTATTATAAATTATTTAGCAGCTAATTTTATAAATAAATTTTAATTTACAAAAATCAAACGCACATTTTGAATCCACATCAATTGTTTAAACCGTTCAAACTGCTGCCTATTCGTTTAGCTAATACACAAACCTACTTATAAACAATTCACAATAACATAAGTGAGGTTTGTGTCTAAGCTAACGGTGAATAAAAATCTCCGCTTTATAAACAAATGGCGCTATAGTATACACGGAAAAAATTTATGGAATTTATATGGTGCAAAGTAAAGTATTGACTAGACTAAGGGATAGACTATAATCCAAAATATTGACAAGACTATAGTCCAGACTATAGACAATACTATAATCCAGACTATAGACAAGACTATAGTCCAGACTATAGGCAAGACTATAGTCCAGACTATAGGCAAGACTATAGTCCAGATTATAGGCAAGACTATAATCCAGACTATAGACAAGACTATAGTCCAGACTATAGACAAAACTATAGTCCAGTCTATAGACAAGACTATAGTCCAGACTATAGACAAGACTATAGTCCAGACTATTGACAAGACTATAGTCCAGACTATAGACAAGACTATAGTCCAGTCTATAGACAAGACTATAGTCCAGACTATAGACAAGACTATAGTCCAGACTATAGACAAGACTATAGACAAGACTATAGACAAGACTATAGACAAAACTATAGACAAGACTATAGACAAAACTATAGTCCAGACTATAGACAAGACCATAGTCCAGACTAAATGCAAGACTATAGTCCAGACTATAGACAAGACTATAGTCCAGACTATAGATAAGAATATAGTCCAGACTATAGATAAGAATATAGTCCAGACTATAGACAATTCTATAGTCCAGACTGTAGACAAGACTATAGTCCAGACTATGGAATAGACTATAGTTTAGAATATATACAAGACCAGAGTCCAGATCATAGAGTAGACTAGACTATAGACAAGACTATAGACCAGATTATAGTCTAGACTCTAAACCACAGTCGCGACTATAGACTTTAGACTATAGCCCACACTTTTGACTAGACTATAGACCAGTCTTTAGACTAGACTGCAGACTATAGACTAGAATATAGTCCGTACAATTGTTAAGACTATAAACAAGAATACTGCCCAGACTATAGACGATGTTAATCTCTACTTCAAGACTTGTAAATAGAAGACAACTTTGTCTAAAATATATATATAAATAACATTCTTTATCAGGCCTTTAAATTAGATTTCTCCTATATAATTTAAGATTTATAGTATAACAATTATAAAAGGACTTACCTTTTAATATCACAATCCATTTTCTCACTAATAGAGTCTTGAGAAAACTGCTCATCTATTGAATTATAAACATTCTGATCAACCGTAGTATCATTATAGCACGAACTACAACTGCAAACCGAGCGCTGAGAACAACACTGTGAACCACCAGCACCATACAACTCGGTCATGGATAATGAAAAATTACTTTCAGTTTCATAAAATGAATCATGATTTGAGGGTTTCTTAGAAACTTTGCCATGTGAACTAGAAAAGAACGAAACAAAGAAAAATTTTAATTATTTTAATTAACAGAAAAAAATAAATCAAATCTTTACAACCTTTTACTCTTGTTATCGGTAATAACATTCCAAGTACGATGTATTAAATATAGCAAAAATAGTACTCTTGATGTTTCGCCATTTGGTGGTGGAGGCGTGGGTGGTGTTGATTGCAATTGTGGTTTATGTGTGGGTAAAGTTTTAGCTGTTGAGGTTTGTAAATCATTTTCTGTGTCATCATTTAATATATTGCGATTGCGTGCCGGTAGTGTTTTTGAACGTAGCTCATAGTCTTGATGTTTAGCCGATTTGCGTTGACGTTGTAGTGAACTTTTATTGAATATGGAAGGTGTATAGCTGGAGGAATTTCGTGATTTACCACGATTAGTAATTGTATTGCCCATAGTGTGGTGTAGGGTGTTTTTAGATCTAGAAGAAAGGAAGGAAATGTTATAATTTTTTACTTTTAAGAAATGTGTAAGATAATGAGTACCCAGACTATTGTCTAGGCTATAATCAGAATAAAAAGTACACAATAATTCAGAATATAGCCTAGACTATATTCCAGAATATAAAGTAGACTATAGTCCATGAAATACTATACTATAATCCAGACTGTAGAGTAGACTAAAGTCTTGACTATAAACTAGAAAAATAGCCCAGAATATTGTCCACACTATAGTCCAGGCTGTAGACTAGACTATAGTCCTGACTATAGACTAGAAAATAGTCCAGACTATAGTCCTGACTAAAGACTAGGCTATAGTCCTTACTAGAGTCTATGCTATAGCCCTGATTAGAGACTAGACTATAGACAGACTATAGTCCAGACTATAGACTAGACCATAGTCCAGAATATAGACTAGATTATAGCCCAGACTATAGACAAGACTGTAGTCCAGACTATAGATTAGAATATAGTCCAGACTATAGACTAGATTATAATCCAGACTATAGACTAGATTATAGTCCAGACTATAGAGTGGACTATAGTCCACACTATAGAGTAGACTATAGTCTATACTATAGAGTATACTATAGAGTAGACTATAGTCCAGACTATAGAGCAGACTATAGTCCAGACTATAGAGTAGACTATAGTCCAGACTATAGAGTAGACTATAATCCAGACTTTAGAGTAGACTACAGTCCATACTATAGAGTAGACTATAGTCCAGACTATAGAGTAGACTATAGTCCAGACTATAGACTAGAATATAGACTAGATTATAGCCCAGACTATAGACAAGACTGTAGTCCAGACTATAGATTAGAATATAGTCCAGACTATAGACTAGATTATAGTACAGACTATAGACTAGATTATAGTCCAGACTATAGACTAGATTATAATCCAGACTATAGAGTGGACTATAGACTAGACAACAGTCCTCAAAAAGACTAGACTAAAAAGTCTGACTAGACTATAGTCCATACTATTGACTAGACTATAGTCCAGACTATTGACTAGACTATATTCCAGACTATAGACTAGATTATAGTCCAAACTATAGACAAAACTATAGTCCAGACTATAGACAAGACTATAGTCCAGACTATAGACAAGACTATAGTCCAGACTATAGACAAGACTATAGTCCAGACTATTGACTAGACTATAGTCCAGACTATTGACTAGACTATAGTCCAGACTATTGACTAGACTATAGTCCAGACTATTGACTAGACTATAGTCCAGACTATTGACTAGACTATAGTCCAGACTATTGACTAGACTATAGTCCAGACTATTGACTAGACTATAGTCCAGACTATTGACTAGACTATAGTCCAGACTATAGACTAGATTATAGTCCAGACTATAGACAAAACTATAGTCCAGACTATAGACAATACTATAATCTAGACTATACACCAGACTATAGTATAGACTATACACCAGACTATAGTATAGACTATACACCAGACTATAGTATAGACTATAGACTAGACTATAGTCCAGACTATAGTACAGACTATACACAAGACTATTGACTAGACTATAGTCCAGACTATAGACAAGACTATAGACTATAGTCCAGACTATAGTAGAGACTATACACCAGACTATAGTAGAGACTATAGTCCAGACTATAGTACAGACTATACACCAGACTATATATATACTAGACAAAGTCCTAAAAAGACTAGACTATTGTCCAGACAATAGACTAGACTATAGTCCAGACTATAGACTCAACTAAGTATTAACTAAATTATAGTCTAGACTATAGTCTAGTCATCTTTCATTTTTTTTTTCAAATTTAATTTAGAGAAATTTCATTTAAATTTTTCAATTAATTTTTACAACATGTAGATGCTAAAAGCAATTTAAAAAAATCTCAATAACTTTTATGACGTACATAATCTTAAAGTTATCGTTTAAGTTTGACATTGAATGAGGTCATGTAAAATACATTGTCCAACTAAACGTTAGTACGCATACTAAAGTTAACCATAAACTATAAAAAAAAACTAATTTAACATAAAAAATTTAATAGCCATAAAACACTTGTCTAAAACCGACGGTTACAGGCCAGAACATTAAATAGATTTTGGGAAAACAGTTTTGGTACATGAGCTAGGTCAAATCCAGAAGAAAAAGTGGGATAGTCCATGTATGCACAGATTGAAATATAACAAATATTGTTGACACAGCTGGAAACAAATTTTAATTATTAAGTCGTATTTAAACAAATCTGTAAACAAATTAATAAAGTTTTTTTTTAAAAGAAACTTGATTCAATCAAAAAAGTAAAAACATACATCATTACAATTAAATAATTTGTTTAAAAGCAATGTAAATCAAAAAAACCTGCCAAAAGCTTTATTTTTATAACATTTCATTAAAAATCTTCAAGTCACTTAAAATAAGACGAGTGTATCATGTCACCGCCACTACTACTACTGATGATGATGATGATGTCTTATAGAAAGTAAATTGATCGTTTAACATAGATAATGAAATTTCTTTCTTCTACGTTTCATAATAAATTATTACTAAATGAATTTTTTTATTTCACTTCATCCATTTCAATGTACAATTTCAGTTTTTACGCCATTAGATGTATGTTGGTCGGCAAAAAAACCAAACTTGATCGAAAAATTCGCACAACTTTGTCACATCCATTCATTGCTAATGTTGTCTGTTTTGTGGTATTTTAATGAAATTGAAATCTTTATAAGTTTTGTTGTAATATACATTTTTATAAAATGCTGTTTGCATCTTGAAATTATTTGATAATTATATGGAAATTTACAAATGAATGCGTGTTAAATGCATTTTTTTTCTCTCTAAACTAGATTTTTTGGGGTTTGGAGGAATTTTGATGAAGAAACATTTTATTCGGTTGCATGTTTAAAATGGTTTATATAGGAAATTAAAGTGATCGCATATGTTTGCAAATTTCTCAATTGGATCGTAATGATCACAAATTTTCTTTATTTTGTCGTTTAGAGCGTTAATTAATAATCCAGAGCCGATTTTAGTTTTTCCATATAAAAATCCATTTTTCATAAAAAATATAAGTGATCACAGATTTTCTTTATTTTGTCGTTTAGAGCGTTATTTAAGGATCTACAGCCGATTTTGGTTTTTCCATATAAAAATCCATTTTTCATGGAAAATATAAGTGATCACAGATTTTCTTTATTTTGTCGATTGGAGCGTTATTTAAGGATCTACAGCCGATTTTAGTTTTCTCATATAAAAATCCATTTTTCATGGAAAATATGAGTGATCACAGATTTTCTTTATTTTGTCGATTAGAGCGTTATTAAAGGATCTACAGCCGCTTTTAGTTTTTTCATATTAAAATCCATTTTTCATGGAAAATATGAGTGATCACAGATTATCTTTATTTTGTCGTTTAGAGCGGTATTTAAGGATCTACAGCCGATTTTAGTTTTTTCATATAAAACTCCATTTTTCATGGAAAATATAAGTGATCACAGATTTTCTTTATTTTGTCGATTGGAGCGTTATTTAAGGATTTTAGTTTTTTCATATAAAAATCCATTTTTCATGGTAAATGTAAGTGATCACAGATTTTCTTTATTTTGTCGATTGGAGTGTTATTTAAGGATCTACGACCGATTTTAGTTTTTTCATATAAAAATCCATTTTTCATGGAAAATATCAGTGATCACAGATTTTCTTTATTTTGTCGATTAGAGCGTTATTAAAGGATCTACAGCCGCTTTTAGTTTTTTCATATTAAAATCCATTTTTCATGGAAAATATGAGTGATCACAGATTATCTTTATTTTGTCGTTTAGAGCGGTATTTAAGGATCTACAGCCGATTTTAGTTTTTTCATATAAAAATCCATTTTTCATGGAAAATATGTGTGATCACAGATTTTCTTTATTTTGTCGATTGGAGCGTTATTTAAGGATCTACAGCCGTTTTTAGTTTCTCTATATAAAAAAACATTTTTCATGAAAAATATGAGTGATCACAGATTTTCTTTATTTTGGCGATTGGAGCGTTATTTAAGGATCTACAGCCGTTTTTAGTTTTTCATATAAAAATCCATTTTTCATGGAAAATATGAGTGATCACAGATTTTCTTTATTTTGTCGATTGGAGCGTTATTTAAGGATCTACAGCCGTTTTTAGTTTTTCTATATAAAAATCCATTTTTCATGGAAAATATGAGAGATCACAGATTTTCTTTATTTTGTCGATTGGAGCGTTATTTAAGGATCTACAGTCGTTTTTAGTTTTTCATATAAAAATCCATTTTTCAGGGAAAATATGAGTGATCACAGATTTTCTTTATTTTGTCGATTGGAGCGTTATTTAAGGATCTACAGCCGTTTTTAGTTTTTCATATAAAAATCCATTTTTCATGGAAAATATGAGTGATCACAGATTTTCTTTATTTAGTCGATTGGAGCGATATTTAAGGATCTACAGTCGTTTTTAGTTTTTCATATAAAAATCCATTTGTCATGGAAAATATGAGTGATCACAGATTTTCTTTATTTAGTCGATTGGAGCGTTATTTAAGGATCTACAGCCGTTTTTAGTTTTTCTATATAAAAATCCATTTTTCATGGAAAATATGAGTGATCACAGATTTTCTTTATTTAGTCGATTGGAGCGTTATTTAAGGATCTACAGCCGATTTTAGGTTTTCCATATAAAAATCCATTTTTCATGGAAAATATGAGTGATCACAGATTTTCTTTATTTAGTCGATTGGAGCGTTATTTAAGGATCTACAGCCGTTTTTAGTTTTTCATATAAAAATCCATTTTTCATGGAAAATATAAGTGATCACAGATTTTCTTTATTTTAGTCGATTGGAGCGTTATTTAAGGATCTACAGGCCATATTAGTTTTTACTTATAAAAAACCACTTTTCAATGAAAATATGAGTGATCACAGATTATCTTTATTTTGTCGTTTAGAGCGTTATTTA